AGAGAGCAAAATTATTTCGTACACAGTAAAGCCTGAAGGATGCATGTGCAAGTTGGAAAGCATCCCAAACATGACAAGTTGAACTGCAGGACACAAGTAGACCTCTTGAATCAATTCCTTACATCAACCATATAGATATAAAATCACGTATAAATTTATTACAGTTAGCTCTCCTAGAAATGCAATGTAGATAAGAAATCAATCACATGGTCAGCTGATCTGAAAGTAACTAGTACTATTATTTGATGTACGCCTCTAAAGAAAGGCGAAAGCATCCCTTTGCTGTAAATTGTGCTGACAATCCTGACATTCCCCAGACAACATTCTTGATAATCAAAGAGACCTCACAACATTTCTGTAGAGAGAAGGTCATAATGCCACAAAAATCAATATGAAAAGCTCCGTGAAGTCTACCACTAAGGGTCTAAGCCACCATCAAACAAGACAAAAGTGCAGTGTATATCTTAGACTAATGTAGCAGACATGGAAAAGGAATGAAAAATTTGATAAAAACAAAAACACCAACAAGAAATAGCTTAACGGGAATGTATAAATGCAGATAGTTTTCTAGAGGGGATACACAGCCATATTATTGAAGTCAACTGTGAGAATACATCTGCTGTTCTCTAGCATAGAGAATACGCACCAAAAGGGAAGTACAAGCAATTAATATATGGGAAGTCCAGAATAATGCATCAAATCACAGCACATCAGAGTCACCGCTAAGATTACCTCTGTGCCACACATAAAAATGCATGTCGGAAATGGGATGCTGCATAGCAGGAAAATGCACTCTTCCAGTACATCACATAAGGAATTCCCTGCAAAATGAGCATAGGAGTGGAACAAAAAGAAACCATCCATTAGTTTAAATGAGGAGATTTGACCAGCTCATCAACTAATTTAGTGAATAACAGGTAATCTCTCACCTTAGCATGAAGTGCTTCAGCCAATTTTTCTCCATTTGGGAGCTCCAAATAGACCTACAATTGGATCATCAAGTAAACAACAGAACTAACACTAACGCAATTTATGGTCCTAATAGTGCATGTATAATGTGACCATAGGAACACTTCAAAATAATTGGATCTTCAGGAGAATACAACTTAACCACTAAAAGGTTGTTTAGTATTAATAAGACATTTTTTGAATTAAGGCATTACAGTACCAGTTAGAGGAAGAAACACCAATCTGTAAACTGGACACAAACCAACATATTGTTGAACAAACATCCATAAATGAATGAGACCAAAATACGAAAACCTTTAATCACATCATCTCAACCGCTAGACTGAAAACATAAGCACAATAACAGCCTTCATTGAAGTAATGCAGAATTATCACAAAATTTGATTCTCCCAAATAATAACCATGCACCTTTTATGATTAGAGAGGGTGACTCTGCAAAACAACTGACTGGATCATATTTATTAAATTAAGTGAAATAATACAAACCTAACGATCCTGCAGATTATCTTATAATCCGAACCTAAACCCTTTGGTAAGATATATTAAAATCTAATGACTTGGCAATGGCTTCAGAAATAACACGGACTACCAAAGCTGAAATACAAATCTGTTTAACACTTCAATAAAATCTTTAAAGACATCAAGAAAAAAAAATCCTTCGAATATCCAACCAAGGGAAGGCACTACTAGCTCAAACTCTCTTGAGAAAACAAAGGAAAGAAAGTTACATACAGCAGTTGGCAGTACGGAACTAAAAAGTCCAGAAATGGCCTCCGCAGAAGACAAATCAAGACCTCCCCAAACAAGTGAACCAACTTCATCATTCGAAAGATGTTCTCCTTGCAAATATACAATATTTGGCTGCCATGAATCTAAAACTTTATGAAATTCATCGGTACTTGGGTTTTTCAACACTTGCACCTACATTAAGCAAATTGTAATAGACATAAGAAACCAGCTCATATGCCAAGCTGATGATTAACCTTTCTACTGAGAGGTATTAAACCTGAACATGTTAAATTAGATACAAAAGCAATTAAGAATGATACCCACCTCCAAACGCCCTGATGATACAATCTCCGGGAAGCAATATCTCGGCTTACCATCATGTACATCTTTCTTCTGATCATATTCAGAAGTTCTCCCACATAATACTGCAAGAAGACTGCAACTTTGTCTGGAAGCTCCTTGACAATGAAACATCACGTTAACCTGGCTTCCCTTTCCTAAAACTATTTCACACCTACAAAGAAAATCTAACTGCAGCAGCTAAACTCCACTCCACTATAATCTTACACCCTGAATCTAAACTCTTTAGCGAACCCTGTAAAAAAAAAAATCCTATTATACATGTAAGAACATATAAAAAATCCCCAGCAGAGCAAAAACACCAAACCTTCAACACATGCATAAACCAACAGAACTGCAACATATTGATCTCATATATAACCACCCCAATCCAGAAAATCACCAATAACCACTTAAAAATCAAGTCTTTAGTCTCAATAACAACCAAATTCATAAAATTACTCATACCCAACTTGAAAATCCTCAAAATTACCCCAAATTACACCTACCCACTTCAAAAAGACCAAGATTCTAACATCAAAAACAACCCAAATCCTGAAAATCAATGAACAATCAAACGACCTAAAAAAAAAAAACAACCCCCAACTGGGTATAAGCAAAAAAACACTCACCAGATAGAGAAATCATAGAACATCAACGATTTCCATTATAGCTCCGAATCCACCCACGAATCGAAAACCCAAATAGAGTAAATAAACAGCTAATTCAGCCACAGATGAAAAGGCAAATAAAGTACAAAATAGAAACCCTAATACCCTTTTTAAAATCTACAACTAATAATCAAATGTAAAAGAGAAAAAAAAATTATATGTAAACAGAATATCGAAAGTTAAAAGTTCGTGGGATTAACGAGTTAAATTATTAAATCAACTGTTAATTCAACAGCCAACAAAAGAAGAAGAAAAAAAGATTAAAAAGATTTTATCAATAAAGTTTTTAATCTTTACGTATATAATCAAACTTGAGTAAAGAGTAACAAAAACACTAAAAAAGAAAAAAATAAAGAACAAGAGATTAACAATAATTTTTTGATTAAAATATAATTAAGAAACCCAGAACTAGAAATGTTCATAAGGAATTTAAATAAAGCAAAATTCTACCGATAATTAATCTAATTTAGATTAGAGAAAATGAGACTAATCACTGTGTTTTGTTTAATCATGCAAAAAAAGAACAAGATTAAACTAGAGAAAATTCTATCAAAAATTTACAAAAAGTAAAATAATAGTAGAATTTGAGTTTGTACATATTTAAACAGGGTCAATTTTATTCTTTGTTATGTTTGTTTTATAAAAATTGATGTTGTTAATTTTTTTGTGTTTAAATGTGTCCCTTAACTAATAAAATAACTTCAAAAAATACTCTTCTTACTAATAATTGCTTCAAATTAAAAAAGATTAATCTAATTTTACCCTTAATTTATTTGAAATATGATATTTTACCCAATATTTAAAGTTTGGAGCAAGTGTTTTTAATTTGTGAAGACTTGAGTAAAAAAATTAGACTAAATTTAATTTATTTGAATGTTAGTTTTATGTTATATATAAAGATGAAATATTTGCGTTAATTTTTTAACTAAATATTTATTTTGCTATTTTCTGTAAAACTATATGTTAACTGTCCTCGATTGAAATTAATGATTACTTAAAATTATGATTGATAAAAGCGTATACTTGAAAAAAAATTGTACCAAACACATTTCGGTGTGCTTCTTTTTTTTTTCATTATCTTTTAATTTAGGATTTTATTATTTTTAGCGTATATTTGAATGTCTTGGTCAGTTGAAAACTAATGTTATATTATTTGCTATGTAGATTCTACTTAAGAGATTGAGATAAAATAATTTAAATTAGATAAGTATAAATTTATGACGTTGTTACTAAATCTAGTATAAAATTTATTCTACACTAAATTTTCAATATTTAATTTTATTTCGCAACCAAACGATCATTAAAGCATGTAAAACATATAGTGCAATAATAGGACAAAACTCATATTTTAACCTTTTTTCAACATTTTTTCCTCAACTTGATTTGACCTAATTATAGTAGAGAGAAATAGTGTGTTATATGATACTTTTTCATCAGATTTTTGTTTTTCTCAAAGGTATTCAAAATTCTATAAATGTGACTTAGTATAAGCTGAAATTCATCCATCTCCTTCTATTTTATTTTTTTATTTATAATAAATGTCTAGTTAACTAACCAGTAGGGTTTCATTGTTTTGGGATTTGAAAAACGTTCATTATTTTGGAATTGTGAAAACGCTCACAAAAATGATAGTGTTCATTATATATGTAATGCTCATATTGTTGTTGTTTTTCTTTGATGACAACGAAAACCCGCAACCGTTACTCTTTGGGTGGGCACTAGATAAAACTCATGTTCCTATGCAATAACTCGCAAATCACATAAGAGAGGTAACTCACACTAAGCAAGCCCGATGCGACGAGCTCGACCCAGAAGGTAAACATCTTGTTTTCGCTGGCAAGAAATTTCGAACTTGAGATCTCCAACATGAAAGTTTCAAGCCCAAACCACAGATGGATATAATGCTCATATTGTTCACTACAATCTTATGTTAAATTTTTAGTTACATTTGACTACAAAAAAACAAAAAAATGATACAATTTATTTAAAAAAACAAAATGTGTATCAGTAAGATTTTAAATTGACTATATGAGGCAATAAAATTCTTTTTCATAATTTGAAATTAGTAATGAATTTGTGAAACCTTATTTTCTCTTCACACCAAAGCTTGTTTCATCAATTAAAATCAATGTCACCAACAGATTGAACACAATTTCATATCTATTCTGTCCTAGTTTGGGTGGACAAAGTTATCTAGTATCTATTATTGGTGAAAGGCGGCCAGTATCTCATGGATTTAATTGAAGTGCGCCAAAGCGACTCGGACACTACAATCATAAAAAGAAAACAAGATGAATTTACTCTGAATAGTCTAATGGTTCGTTTTTCAATTCATACCCAAAAGGATAAGCAAACTTAAAAAAGTAATATATTCTTCCATGTCATAGAAGAAATGGGAGAACACAGAAAATAAAAAATTTCCTCCTACAGGTAATATTTGGAATACCTACAACAGAATCAAACTTCATTGGGGCTATAAATATAGCTGTATAAGCTCATCACTTACTACAGATGGTGTTAGAACGCCCAAATCTGTGAATAGCAGTGTAAGATACTGGGGTGGTGTATAATCGCGAGCAGATGTTTCAACCTCCACCTTGGACGGAATTGGCACCCCAAAATCAATTGGACGTAAAGCTGGAAACATATCTTTTTGGTCCAGTGGATAGAGACGAGCAAACTGCAAGAAATTACAACTTGTTAGGAAGCAAATGAATCACATAGCATTTTGTATGTTCATCTAGTTACAATGTCCCTCTTTAAGAAGATATGTGGTTCAGAATCCTTAATGTTAACAGATAACATGCATTCAACTTACCTTGTAGCTTTCAGCAGCTACATAGACTGGTTTATTCATGCTCTTCGCTACCAAAGCAATTTGGTAGGTTCCCATCATGTTGATAACGCCTCCGCTTTCAACCACACCGTCTGCCCCAACAAAAACCATGTCAATTTCATCCATGTTGTATGCCACAGCAGAATCTATTAAGAGTTTTACAGGAACATCAAGCTTCGCTAGCTCATTAGACAATCGTAACCCACTCCTGTCTGGCCTCCCTTCTGCATTTTAGATAATGGAATACAGATTATCATGTGATAAAATTATAGTAGCTCATCTTCTCAAATAGGTTTAGATGAAAGCATATGTAATGCGATACTTAAAAATCAACAAGTGTTGCATAATCAAAGAAACTCGGAAAAAAATTTCACGATTAGTCGTTGAGAAAGAGAAACAACATTCTTTTTGACATGGGACTACAGAAAATTTGACTCCTAAAGTTCCATGTGGATCTCCGTAACCAAAACAAATAAATAAAGGAGAAAAATCAAAGAAAGTTCTCTCTTTCCCTTATTTGTATTTAACTACCCTGAACATTATTGACTTCTATCTGGTTTACCAACATGCAAAAGTTTGTTTATAAAGCCAGTAAATTGATGATAGAAATGTTTTTCGTTCACTTTTGGCTAACCCAACAAATATGAAAATACATGCAAAGAAGGGAGAAAACAATTGCCACTTAATTGATAACATATAAAACTATCTAATTCTAGCAATAGTTCATATAAACTAGAAATATAATCTTTCTACACAAACCAGTGCAAAGAACTCGAAAATTCTTCCTATTCTGAGCAGCTGTTTTCAGAACCTCAAACACAACTCTGGAGAAGCCATGTACTAAAATGGTGCAACCATCAAAAATAAATTCTTGGCTGAGCATTGCAATTATCTTCCGAGCCTGCATAAATTTTTTTTGGAAACATTGTGAAACAAACCCGATTTCCAACACAAACACTGATATATATAATATTCACTGGATACAAATTACAACGTATAATACACACAATAAAGAAATAATATACTAATTATAGATAGATTAACATAGAAAAAGGTAACAAGAAGGGGATGAGATACTAGAACAAAGAAAGAGGATAAGAGATAACAGAAAGCCAAAGTTTCGACATAATTTTCATAACCGTTGTTCAAACTCCTGGTCCTCTTTACCAAAGTGTAAATGGGCCAGGATCCCAAATAAAACTCTGTAATAGCCGGTGAGCCCTTACAGGGTCAATTTGGTTCACAACACATTGTGTTAGTTTGATTAAAATGCTTTAATATTTTTCTTTTAATAATTACATGGTATATACCTTATAAGATATTTCCCCAAACTTCTCCGCACGTTCAAGAAAGCGAGACTTGGCTGAATTAAAGTCCTCATATTCCAATGCTGAAGTTCTTGTTACATAGCGCATGAACAAATCACAACCAGCTGTCAAAGAGATGGAGGTTTTATCCCATGACTGCAATACAAACATAAATAGTGAAAGAGCAATAAAGCATAAAATTCTCAAGTCTCTCAGTATGCTTGCAATCAAATTTTACTTGACTACCATGAGATAGATGTGCACTGTTCGGAAATCTACTTTTACACATCAAAATACAAGGGCCTACGACAGCAGGTATTTAAGGAGTTGAATACTAAAGCTCTAATGACATCTGACATATATCCCCCTCCATCAAGGGTGATATTGGATAATCACTACTGCAACGGATCTGCATCCATGTTGTTGTATTAGTCCATCAAAATCATGTTTCGTAAACCACCACTATTTCTCCCTTCAAACCCAAAAGCATACTTCTCTTTTGATAGGTACCGTAATGAGGTAGTGACAATCAAATGAAATCAAATCGAACTATATTCCTCTGATGGCAGGACTATATATGATGGTATGGCTCATTGATACTTAGTTCTTTCAGCAAAACAACAGTGACCTTCAAATATACTTTTAAGAACAAACAACAATGATTTTTCAAAAATTTATTCCCTTGGCATCCACATTCAATTTATGTTAGCTCAAAAACTCAAAACATCATAATAGACTTTAGAGAAACAGATCCATGTCTTTCAAGAAACTTCCAAATCTCCCATTTGAACAAAACACAGCAGAAATGGGTGTTGTGGGGCCAAACTCCGTCAACACAATTTACAACTTTCACCGCTCAAAAAAATCTCAAAATTCCATATGGGGAAATATTAACAAAAGGGGAAAAAGAACCTACTCTACTTATTTAGCACAAAAACAGTTACCATCGAATACGTTATAAGGATTGAAAAATAAAAAGTAATTTGTCTAAGAAGCATTACCTAACCTTATTATAAACATGTACCATTTATATCGCTCAATACATCTTAAAGTTGTCTCAAGGGGAGGCTGAGTGGTTAAGGCGTAGGAGTAACACTGTGTGCATTGGATTCCCAACTTTGCACTCCAATAACAACACAGTGTGAGCTCATCAGTTCCACCCTTGGTAGATAATAGGTTGCTGGGTGGAACTGCCGAACACCACGCCATATAAAGAGCAAACTTTTCTATTTTATGTCAAAAAGTAAAAGTAAAAGTAAAAGTAAATATAATGTTAACACTTGACTAAAGGAATGTTGACATTTAATTAAAGGATTCAAGGTTACAATTCCACCACCACAGAAAAGTATTTTAAAAAACACAAGAGCAACACTTCCTAAAATAGTAGTGAAAAAAAGAAAAGGACCATTTTGTGTTCCTTTTTCTTGAGTAAACATTTTCAGACAACGAGAACATGAATGGGCAACAAGTCTACAAAAGCCATTTGAGAGGTAAACATCAAGTTAATTAGAGTAGAGTGTAGTGCTCCCAGACTCTTCATCACCACCACCATAGTGGTCCTCGCCTTTACCAAACATCACTAAGAGATCTTCTCCACCACTGTCCACAACCCCTTCAGTGTCAGTATAGGTGGCAGCAGTCTATTACCACTCTTGCTGCCTCAGGGAATAAGTCCACCAGCATTCATTGTAAGCTGGTAAAAGAAAAATTAGCAAATTTGGGCTCCAAACTGTATGCTTTCTCATCTTTGACTTGAACTCTATGACATCCCCTTCACTTCTCCAATTCCAATTTCTCCATTTTTCTTCTTCTGTGTCCACTCTTTTTGTCACCTCTTTATCAAAAAATGTGTCAAAGGGTGCAATATATTGATTTCCTTGACTGTTGATAGTAAAACTACTACTTCCACCAATTAAAAAACTCAAAGTACCAAATTTAAATGAGTAATTTTGAAGGAATTGAGAAGAACCAAAACAAAAAGGGCGAAAGAGAAGATAAAACGATATGCCTAATAGTAGAGCTAAATTAATTTCAACAAGAGTAGTGATAAGAGGAAAAAAATCGAACCTTGAGAGAATCAGAAGCTTTTTTGAGTTCAATTTCAAGTTCCATCATAGTAGTAGCTTCACTAGACCTTATAACTGAAGCCAAAGCCCTAATAGCAGCAACAGCCTCAGCCAAATCAGGTTGTTTACGCCAATTATTAAACTCATCAATCACATTAAATTTCCCACTCAAATCTCCAGACTTAGAAGAAACATTCGAGGATACAACGTCTTCAGATGGTTGGTCTACGGCAGCTTGAGCCTGAGAAAGCCAGTCACTTGTAACAACTCCATGATGAGCCGCTCTAGTTTGATAGTACGCTGAAATGTCAGGATTAGGGTTAAGTTGTTGTTGCTGTTGCTGTTGCTGTTGCTGCTGCTGCTCCTGTTGTAGTAGGGTTTCAGCCATAGATGATGAATCGGCGACTGAAAGAGGAGAAAGATGGTGACTTCCAGAGACGTCGTTTTGGTTTTTGTCGAGAATGAAAGAAGCTGATCTACGCCACATCTTTTTCGGGAATGTGCACAATGGAGAATCGCCGGAAAAGGCAAAATCGCCGGTGAAGTTGTGAATCAAATTCTGTTGAATAAAAAATGAGAATCTGACGTTCTTATTAGCATAATGATTTAATTACAAATTTTAAAATTTAAATCAAATAATTAAAATAAAATGATAATATATAAAAGGTAAAATAAAGAATTTCTTATATTAAATTGAAGGATGAATATTTTAAACGAAACTTAAATTAAACTTATGAACTACGTTAATTAATTAATAAGGGATATATTAATAAATATGTGTAATTGATATGGTTACTTTTGTTTCGGAAAATAATATTACTGCACATTGCTTTACTTTATTTAAGTAACATATTTTTTTGCTTCTATTTCTATGTTAAAATAATTTTATTGTCGGTCAAACATCTTAATTTTTTAAGAAAAATATGATTTTCTTTATAGAAAAAATTCTACCATAGTAGAAAAGTGGGTCAAAAATACCCTTTAACTATTTGAAACAGCTTGTATATACCCTTAAACTTTATTTCGACTCAAAACTATCCTTCCTGTCATACTATTGAGTCAAAAGTACCTTTTTATTAACAGAGTTTCAACTTTCGCTAATAAGAAGATCACTTTTGATCCAATAGTTTGACGGGAAGGGTAGTTTTGAGCCGAAATATAATTTAAGGATATATATGAGCTACTTCGGATAGTTTAAGGATATTTTTGACCCTTTTCCTTTCAGTCTATGTGGCAGTGAAAATCTATTGTGGTGTCATGTGGCATCCACATGACATTTAACAATTTTCGTTAATTAGAAGGACATTGTTGACCCAATAATTTGACGGGATAGATAGTTTTGAGCCAAAATATAATTTTAATAATAACAATTTTCACTGACCTCTATTGAAGATTGAAGAGGAAGAAAAAAGGTTTTGGATTCAACTGTTTGCCTTCAACAACAGCTACAATCTTGATGTAATTTATCATCTCTCTTCAATTTTGAATTCGATTTTTGCAGCTGCTTTTACATTGTTTGTGGCATTTTGCTTTTGCATTTGCTTTTGTTTATGAGCAAACAAAAATTAGGGATAAAATGGCTCTACAAATATTTAGAGTGCCATTAATTTGATCAGACAAATAATCATCTGCTTTTGAATTAATTTTTCAGTAAGAATCCTCCTTTTTTTTCTACTTCTATCCCTTTTGCTCTAATATGGGTTCTACCAAAACCAAACAAGAAAATCAAATGAACAAACACCTTGAATTTATTATTAAAACTAAATTGTGAAATAAATAAACAAAATACAAGAAAACTGTAACCGAAAGTCTTTGACATAAAGTAAACAGTGGCTAAAAAGATGCTTAGAAAAGAAGAGCACAAGATTTGTAGCACGTAGACAGAATTTCATGTGTTTACCAATTCTTTAGGATCAATTCTTAATATATATATATATATATATATATATATATATATATATATAATAATGCTCAAGTACCCCTCAACATATGTTCGAAATCTCAAAGACACACTTATATTATACTAAGGTCCTATTATCCTCCTGAACTTATTTTATTAATAATTTTTTACCCCTTTTCGACCTACGTGGCACTATCTTGTGAGGCCAACGAAGGTTGACTTTTTTTTAAATTCGTGTCACGTAGGCTAAAAAGGGATAGAAATTTACTTATAAAATAAGTTCAGGGGTAATAGGACCTTAGTATAGTATAAGTATGTCTCTGAGATTTCGGACGTCTCTGAGATTTCGGACATAGATTGAGAGGGTAATTGTGCATTATCTTACATATATATATATATATGATTAGTAAGATATTAATAGCCAAGTTTGACATATTCCAACTTTATTGAGTGGGACAAACTTGGGACTTCTACTGTCATTTTGGAGAAAAATGAAAAATATTACAAGTAAAAGGAAGAATAAGAAGAGAGCAATGAATTGAGCTAGGAGAAGAAGTTGGAAATTTGCATCATGAAATTATTTCTCTATCCACATGAGTCAAGTTAAATTTTTCGTCATGGTTTTGTGCTCACATGAGTTGAGCTAAATTGTTAGTCATGTAAACTGTCAAGTAGAAATTACTGAAAAGATTATAGGTTACGATAGAAAAAGGAATAAGTATAGTGATAATTTAATTGTTATTTCAACAATTATTACAACACAAATATTTATGTGTAAACCTATCAGATTAGTCATAACTTTTAAAAAAAACACTACAATATAATGTGGTGTGTCCGAGTCCTTGAGAGAAGAAAGGTTGAAAAACTAAACCGTTGGGAGATAACAACGAGTCAATGACTATTCTACTTCAACATAGTTCATGACGAAGTCATCGTAAAAGACTATCCATAACATAAGCTGCGACTTTGCTTATTACAGACACCTTTTTTTTGTTCTTCAACTTTTTAAATTATATGTGTGTGTATGTATATGTATATATGTATGTATGTACATTACATGGTTGATTCTGAGAATCAAAACAACATAACCAAACGTACACTCTCTATATAATTGTTCTTAAACATACAACATTCTTTATTATCATTTTCTTTATTTAAGTTAAATTCTAATTTATAACAAGTAATTCTCCAGTTTAAGAACCTGCTATAGTTACAAATAATGCACACAATTACTTGATGTGATTTAAATTCATATTTTTGGTATAACTGTACAAAGTTGCTGAACTCTTGTCTACTAGCTTTGGGTTAAAACTATTGGATAGGATAGATATAGTCTAAATCTATGTTGCTTGGACTTTTCAAAAATGTCAACAGGTGCATGTTGGATTATCCAAAAGTAATGTCTTTTAAGTCTAGAGTATCCTCTTTATAATAGTTATTTTCGCTCTTTTTAAAAATAAATCCACTGCTACATATTGCTAAATATACTGAAATCTACACTTTTTTTAATGCCTTAATATTTTATAGTATTTTTTGTTTTTTGCTAGACATATTTAGTATTCATTTGTAGTTATTTACAGCTTTCTAGCTCCATTCTTCTTAACTTATAACTCCACAATCTAAAACCATCTCCTTCGTAATTGCAAATATTTTGTGAACTCCAAGGCATCATCATCACTTGCTACCACCAACTATTTTATCTTTTTTGTTCAAATATGTAAATATATATGAAACATAGTTGAAAAGTGCCTAGGCAGCACAATAATAAACATAGTATATGTATTGCCAATCTATAATAAAAATTACTGTCAAGAACAATCACGTGTTCGGCCCGTGCGCGCACGGGCATCATCATCTAGTAACAGTAAAATAAAAGAAGACATCAATATATATATATATATTTAACGTTCTAACGATTAACCTAAACATGTTATTACGAGATTTTAATATTTAATCTTAAGAAAATGCTTTTTGAGAATTTGTCTTTTAACTACTCATTTTAGAATATATTTTTAAATAGAATTTTATAGTTGATTAAAAAATCATGACACTTTTATGCTTTTAATGAATGTCTATTAATTAATAGGAGACTCATTATAGTTATAGTTTGCTATAATTACCACTCGCGATTAACATTATACATTAATTACGTGGGCTGACTTCGAATTTGTATAATTAGTCATTTTTGTATATGTATAATTCGCCAAAACATACAAATACATATGTATAATATACAATTATTTAACTTATATACATATACAATTCACCTCTTTCACACTCTCTACCCTCTCTCACTCGCTTCTCTCCCTCCCTCTCCCAATCTCGCTTGCCCTATATACAAATGTATATGTATAATATACAATTATATACATGTACAATTCATCTCTCTCCCCCTCTGTTCCCTCTCTCTTCTCTCTCCTTCCTTTTTCGATCTCGCTCACCTTTCTCCACCCTTTGTCAGTCTCGCTCGCCTCTCTCCTCCCTCTCCCAATCTCTCTTGTCATATACACAAATACATATGTATAATATACAATTATTTAACCAATATGCATATACAATTCACCTTTCTCCACTCTTTTACCCCTCTATCTCGCCTCTCTCCTCTCTCTCCTAGTCCCGCTCGCCTGTCTCCTCCATATAACATGTGGCTACAAATATAATTATCAAATTATAACTATGGAGAGTAATTAATTATTTTTAAGTGGCTATAAATAAAAAATTTTCTTAATTAATTATATCCTAATTTCTGAGGTTCTCAAAATAGATATACATATATATACATGATTTTTGTAAGGTAACTAGATGCACTATTACATAATGTCATACATCAACAACTTCAAGGATATGTCTACGAGAAAAGTAAGATACATGATAAAACTACTACAAAAATTTATGATAAAAAATAAAATAGAATTATTAAACAATAGATTAAAAAATTTTGGTAGAATGTAATGAGTTTAAACAAGTTTGTCTTATATCAACATTGGGATGGCTTGGGTCATCGCTCTTGGATTGACTTAAGTCTTTAATTGATATCGTGACTCTTAATCAATTATATGAAGCAACCATGATTCTATGGGAAATTTGGAATGATAGAAATAACCTTGTATGGAAGCGAAGATCTTTACGACTTGAAATTGTTATCCGAAAGGCTGATCGATTTTGGCGAAATTGGACTAAAGCAAGACAAACAACCTTCAGTTCCACTACAAGAGAACCTGATTTTGTGGCTAAACACTTTGCAGCAACTCCAATAATTGTAGAGATGAACTATCTCTTGGTTAAAAAAGCGTTAGGAAAGGCTTGTGAAAACTACTCATATATTTTGATATTATTATTCATTACTGTAAAGCACTCATGTGTGGCTTTACTTCTATTTTTTTCTTACGTTAAAAGATCAACGAACCCGTGTGCCCATCAGTTAGCTCCGACTTCGGGTCTATGGCTGAATACTATGAAGTTGATAGTAGATCCCCATATTTGATTCATGATGTACTCAACTTTGATATGATCAATAATTAATCAAAAATGCTTGATTCAAAAACAAACAAAAAAGATAAAAACAAGAAGGAAAAAATTAAAGTAACAAAATATGATCAGACCAAATCAATCATTACACAAATTTATGTTATTTAACCCAATTAACCATGATTTCTAAAACTAACAATCATATTATATTATAAGTGGGAAGCGTCTATGTCGAAAGTTGAATTACAAAAATGTCCTTATAATATCATAATATTTATGGGCAAAAATATAAATGTACATTATTTATAAATAAAAACTATTGTATTTTCTATTAAATAGTATTATTACATACTTGTGAACAAAAATATAAATACACATTGATTATAATAAAATTAATATTCTAAAAATGAAGAACTTGTCATCTATGACATGAATCATTCTAGGTACAATGAACATTTTTAATTAAACGACAAAGGGAAATCAAAAGTTTTGTAACAGTTAAAATGACCCTTTAAGTGTACCTCATTTACTCCTGCTGGGCAAAGATATACAATTTTTCAGATGAATTATATTCATAACATTATATTAAATGCTAAGTAATTGCTTCAAAAAATACTGCAATCGTTGGACTTTCAATTTTCTTCTGTTATAATTAGCACAAACTAATGATGAATTCTATACTTGATAAATTAATTAAATTTATCTTATAATATATATCATATTATATTAAAAATGGAAAGCTTTTTTTGTGCAAAGTCGGACTTTCCAAATTATCCATTAAAAATTAATATTTTATACCCTTTAAGGATGAAATTAGTCATATAACATTAATAATAAAATATTAATTAAAATTTTTTGGAATTAATAATATTGCTTCAATTTTTTAAACAACTTAATATAATTATTTATGTGAAGTCTTTATAACTTCAAAAGTTATGTTTTTCAAATTCCAATACCTTTAATTCATTTCCGCATCTTCTTTTTCCAAAAATTTTCTTTATTAATTATTAAAAAAAACTAATCATATTCT